AGACAGCAAAAGAGACACAGATGTAAAGAACAGACTTTTGGACTCTGTGGGAGAAGGCGAGAGTGAGATGATTTGAGAGAATAGCATTGAAACATGTATATTATCATATGTGAAACAGATCGCCAGTCCAGGCTCGATGCATGAGACAGGGTGCTCAGGGCTGGTGCCCTGGGATGACCCTGAGGGATGGGGAGGGAGGTGGGAGGGGGTTCAGGATGGGGACACATGTACACCCGTGGCTGATTCATGTCAATGTATGGCAAAACCACCACAATAGTGTAAAGTAATTAGCCTCCAATTAAAATAAATGAAAAAAATAAACTCAATGTGTGTGTGGGTGTCTGGAGAAATGCTTTCTTGGAGAAATAACTTGAGCACATTTTCCTGGGATAGATTTTCGGTCCACGTGGCAGTGCTCTCTCGGGTTTCAAATCTGACTCTGAGGTTAATGCCTAAGATCTCAGTGTTGGGGTGCCCTTTACCAGCCTCCTGGGGCTTCAGACCTACCGAGGCAGCCCCCAAGCTTCTGCCCTATCCCACTGCCCCATTTACTCCCCAGACCTGCCTTCCATCATTTTCTGGGCAGGTGAACACTGGCCCTGGAGGCTTTGGGAAAATTGACGGAGACTTGTTTTTTCCTTTTGTTCCTAGTTACGGTTCCAAGGTACGTTTTCTTGTGGTCCTTAGGAAAATATCTGTGATGTTTTAGATTGATTCAGGGAAGCTCCAAGTGGGCCCCTTAAACATTACACCCACTAGCAGTCTAATCAGTATTTGCTGCTACTTTCGTAGTGAAATGTTGAAGAACTTAGTTTTTGTAAGTCCATCCGCCTTTTCTTTTGATTGCTATAATGGAAAACATTGCTTTCAGTGATCAGAAGTAAAATGTTGATGGCAAATTTAGAAGACATTATGATCCTTCATATCTTTTTTCTTGGCAAAGGAATTGAATTAGGAAATAGTACTGCCCTCTAACATGTGACAATTACCATAAAATTATATCCTGTTTGGTTGGCAACAAAATCAGTTTGTTCGAATTTGTAGCAAAAATCTGAGCTTTTAAATTACTGTAAAAAAGACAGTCATATTTTAAGTAAGAAACATAAGGTTTTTTAAAAAAATCAGAAATGCAAAGAACCTCTTTTAAAATGCAAACTCCAGTTTTCAAGAGTACGATTTCAGAAGGGCTGAGAGTGGGAACCTACTAAATCCTTCTGGGAGAAGGGAGTACTTGGGGAGGGTGTCTTGTGCTGATCACACCAGATCTCAGCCTCTAGCTGTCTGTGCACGCGTGTGACCGTGCACGCACGCGTGTGTGTGTGTGCCCGTGTGTGTGCGCGCGCAGCCACAGGGCCACGGGGATGCTGGGGCGGCGGGCTCCCTCGCTGCCGGGAGCGGGGCGCGCGTACCCGGCGGGGCCGGCCCGGGCCGTGCGCAAACGCGGGCAAGGCGGCTCTTTGTGTGTCTGTGCGGCTCCGCGCCGCCGCGGGCCCCATTTTCTGCTCCGCTCCGGACAGGCACATAAAAGGGAAGGCGGCTGCCGCCGGTCGCCGTCCTCTTTCCCTCAGATGCCCTCTGCTGCAGGTTTATTATTACAGTACCGGCCGCGCCGCCTCTCCCCGGGGCCCTGGCCAGCCGCCGGGCTGTGCAGCGCCCTGGCCGCCTTCACGCCTGGCGCGCCCCCAAACCGCCTCCTCCGCCTCCTTATTTGTCTGAAAAGCAACCGCACGTCCAGGCGGAGAAGCCCGCCAGGGGCGGGCGAGGCCGGGCCGGGTGTGTGCGCGCCGCGCTCCACGGGGGGCCGGGGCGCGCGCGCGTTGGCCGCTTGCCGACCGGGCCCCGAGTCGCCGATTCCTGCCGAGTAAGCAGTCTGGCTCCGCCGCGGCCGCACAGTGGCAGCGAGGCTGGGGTGCTGGCGCGGCGCCAGCCCATCAGAATTAGCTCATTGTTCACTAGCACACTAGCAGCAGGGAGAGAGAGAGAGAGAAACTGACTCTTAGAGAGAGAGACACACACTCTTGGAGAGAGAGCGCGAGGCAGGGAGACCTTCCCCCTCCTTCTTCTTCCAAGGCTGCACTTCTTGGAAGTGAAGCCGACAGGGAACGGGGCTTTTGTCTGTAAGTATATGCCGTTCCCATCCCCGGCCGGGAGCGCTGCTTTCTCTTTTGTGTCGATTTCTTGCCGTTGCTCTTTGCTGTACTCTGACCCTGCAGAGTTCATGCTTCTTCCCTCTAAATTTTAAAGAACGGAAGCCTGTACTTAGAGAAATTCTGGCATTTTGGTCCCGCTGCATTAAGACCGGAATTTGACTTGGGTGTTTTTTTTTTCTTTTTTCCTAATGCACAAGTTAAGAGGGAGAAATCTGTTGGGAAGGGGTGGGGTTTTTCGCTAGTCGGTGTGATTAATTTTTGTTCTTCTTGCTAATAAAGCATTGTTAGGAACTGTTTTGTTTCTTTGCATTAAATGCACTTTGGTGCATGCACACCCCCCTCCCCTTTTATAAAGTGGATTTGTGTTCCTCCATCCTTAGTCTTTATTACTCTTTCAAAGCTGCTGCGCCTCCAAGGGTCTTTTCAGGCATTCGATCTTGCAACACTTTTTTTCTGCATTTTCTTATAAAGCAGCTGAACTTTGGGGGAGAGATGGCTTAAAAATAAGTGACTGCTTTTTGCTTGATGATGATAATAATCTGATTTGCATTTCTGTGTGTCTGTAATACCATTATAGGAAAACTCGAAGAGCTTATAATACCCTGTTAGAGAACTTTGTTTCTCCATTCATCTTAATTTTTGTCATAACTTATGTTAACAAAAGACCTGTATTCTGACACGAGGGTTGAGAGGAAAATCCCCGCAGCACTTATATTAATGTTTATTTGGTTTAGGGAGAAGGGCATAATGGTGTATATTCCTGACTTTCCCCCCTTAGTGTAGTTTTTTTTTTTTTTTAAACACGGAAGGTTATGTAATGCAGTGCCATTTCCAAAAATATCCACTCTGAGGCATTACACTACACGGTGGAAGGCTGATTCGTATTCTGCTGTCTTGATTGCAAATATACTGCCAGTAGTATGTCTGGGAACAAAGAGCGGCCAGAAAACAATCTATTTTTATCACTTGGTTCTACTTTTAAGTTATTAAACCTTTTGAACTCCTGCAATTTAAAGATGAACCCAACACTAAGAATAGCCCAGGACTCTGCAAAGCCAGGTACCAGGGATTCCTTTGTCCCCTATTTAAGCCTGCAGACCGATTGAAAAGCTCTTTCAGAAGCCCCAGTGGTTACAATAATTTGCATGTAACTGAGCTTAACCACAGAAAATGATTATTTGTCTGTAACCTCTAAACAACCATTTCTCATTTGCTGACATATGGTAAGGCAATTTGTCTACTGTATTTAAACATATTTTGCAGGTTGGTTGGTCTCCTTGGACTGAAGAGAGGGAGGGTGCAAGGCCAAGACTGTTAAGGATTCTCAAAATGGTAAGAATTGGTCATCAGAGGAGATTCTCAGTTGCTTCTTACCAGTCTTTATTCTTTATAAATATCAACCACTCACCTTCATCTCCCCTGAACCCTTCATTGTTTCTACCCGATATGACCTTTCAGAGGTTCCTATCCAGCCTGGCGAGCTTCTGCAGTACAGCAATTTATATTAATTGGATGTGATGAATTAGGAATAAGATCTTTTGATTTTCAATCGTTTTGAATAGAAAACTGAAATTCCTTTCAGAAGTGAAAAATTTTTAACTTGAACAACAGAAACTGTCCTGTTGTTTGAGAAGGGTGATAAATTGTGACATGCGTGTAAGAGGTGGCAAGCAATGGGGCTCAAACAAAGCAATGGGTCTTCTAGTAGAGAGAGCCAGAACTTATCCCAAGACTAGGAGTCTGTGTCCAGCTAATCCAACAGCTATAGTGTATGCTAAAGCGGTATATATGTAGAGCATGGACTTTTATGTTAATACACGCTATTGTCTCCCAAATATAATTACCGTTTTATTGTTGTTGATTTATAACTTCATTTATGAGAGACATCTGCTCAGATTTAGAAGATAAGCATGTTATCCTCTAAATGAAGGTGTAACTATTTCTGACAAGCGTTATGATCCACAGAGGAGGCAGCTTAGTGTTCGATGATGGATTAAAGAAATAGAGGAAATACACATTAAAAACAGTTGAATACATGTATTAATCTTTTTTGAAAAATTTCCTCTCTGGAAATGAAGTTGAACTGAAAAAAAGAACAGAAATGTCATGAAACTTTTTAGTTAAGTACAGCATGTCCTACTGCAGATGTTTATGCTCTTTAAAACACTTCTTTGCCACTTTGAGTGTGTGGTTTCCAAATTTAGTTTTCGTTTTTTCTTTTAAAGGAGGGAGGAATTTAATGAATCAAAATTGAATCCGATATACTTGATGTTTTTTTTGAGAGCAATCCAAGTATAAGCTTCCAAGGAGAAAAGTGAGTCAGAAGCAGTTAAATGAATTCTGTTTGAATTCTGTTAATAAGTAAGCTCTTCATTTTTTGTGTATGCCTCACTTGTCATTTCAACAGGTGGGTGTCAAAGCATCAAATAAAACAGATCTTGCTTGGGCATAGGTTGATAATGACCAAATTAAGAAACTTAAGGTAGAAGGCAAAAGGGATAAACAGAAAATTAATCAGTAGGTTTTGTGCAAATGGTTCCTAAGTAGATATTAAATTCCTAACTATCCATTGTCACAGGGTTCTAGGATGGTAATAAAATAACCCACTGCAAAATATTCTTGTTTATTTCTTTATCTTTTACTGTGATTGGCCACGTCACCTTGTCCTGTGGCTCTTTATCCCAGAACCTTACCCTGGGATAAAGAGGGTATGAAGATTCTTGTGTTTTGTAATGTCAGGTGACCAGTTTGGTTAAACATCAGTCTGACCACTGATTCTGCCAAAATTAGTCCTATAGATCAAGCTCAAAGAATAAATATCATGTTTCCATAGTAGTGAGCAGAGTAAGCATGTATGCCAAAGCCAAGAATGAAAGTTGGAACGATTCGAATGCAGAAGAGCAAATTCGAATTATTGTTACAGGTTGTCAATTTCTTACAGTTGTCGTCTATTTATGGTGGCAGAATGAGAAGTCAGTTTGTTGCTCTTGGAAGGAATTTTAGTCATGGAAAAATTCTCACAACTTTTTGGTGATCCTTTCATCAAGATGTCAGTCCCTTTTGGCACAAGCCCATTGCCTGAAATGAAACCACTGACAGTTATTGTCTGTGGGTGATTCCAAGTAACTTTCTAGCAATTTTCTTATTCTGGGAGGCCTGAGCTCTTCAGTCTTTTCACATACTAATGTAAAAAAAAAATAAATTTAGATTGTCTTTTTTTTTAAAACTGATATTAGAGGTGTCGTATACCTCCTTTTCTCCTTTTTGGAAAAATGAAGTTATTTTCTTTCCTTGATTAAAACAGGAATTACTTTGCTGATCTGTGTAACAGGCTTACTTAAAGACTTATCACTAGGGAAGCAGTAGACTTAACACCTGGTCACTTCTAGAAAATATATAAACTTTTGTATCTTTTCTGTGAAACATATCTTTCCATTTGTATAGAAACATGGATTTCCATATTTTAAAACACTAAAAAGGGTCTAATTTCAGTGTTACCTGTTTAATAAAGGGCTTATTCCAAATACAAATTTATAATCAACTCATTTCAGAGTAAGAAATTAACTAGTAGACTCCAGGATCCAAAACAGAATGGTTCAATATTTAGACATTTGACATACCCTAAAATGATGTTTCACAATGATAACTTTTTGCATTATCAAAAAATACAACCGCGTTGTTAATCTGTGAGGCGCTAATCACATTGTATTCCCTATAGGAGACCCTTTGGGCACAACTCCAGGGGGCATCATTTACATAGGCGACAGTGCATCTGCAGTTGTGCATTTTAGGAGTACTGTTATAAGTTTTAATTTTGAGTGTGGTTTGCCTTATCTCAGTTTTCTAGAGTGTTCTTTTTAATAACATCCCCCAGCTTTTTCAGTTTTCTAGTAAGCATAACTTTTCTAGCACCAACCCCCCCCCACTTGTCTTTGCAATTAACAAGATATTGTGAGTCTGCAGAAATCTTCAGCATTTCTTTAATTTATATTTGGCTTTTTGTTTAAGTTCTACGATTATATTTAATATTGGTCCTTGGGATTTACTTAGTTGTTTTATTTTAAAGGTACTTGCTTCAGATACATCACTGAGAAGAAAATATTTCAAAAATAAGCAGATGGTCTTACTGAGTAGTTTGAAAAAATAAATTATTTAATTCAGTGTCAAAGTTGAGTTCTGATTTTCAACATGACTACCCTTTGGCTGTAAACTTGCCTCCTAGTATGAATGTGCCATGGATTCACAGTGGCAAAAGCTTGGGCTCATTATGTTTTAACAGAGACCTAGGAATTGGAACAATTTTAGATTCTCTCTAAGTCTGATGCTGAGCTTTTCAAAATGATGAGTTGACTCCATTGTCCCGTTCATAGAGCTTTGCTTTCTGTACAGTCTGTGAAGTGGCATTCATGAACTTACAAGGAGACTCTTTCAATAATCTCTCCAGTAACATAAGGTTTTCTTGTTTAAAGAAAAAGAGAAAGATTGCAAAGGGATGAGGTACTGTTGGTAGCTGTGCCGTTGGGTTTTGGAATGTAAATTTACAAGTTACTCAGGGATTTTTGATTGTGGAGATGCTGAAAAGTACCTAGGAGAGTAATTTTAGATGGTACTGTCTTCTCTTTTACCAGTGCTTCTAGTGCATTGTGAGGAGAGAATTGGGAATTGTTTGGGGAATTAGGACAGAAGGGATGGTCTACCTGGGTTTAGCCCCAGTCCCTCTTCCTCTTGAGCTAAATAGATAAATCAGGCAGAGGAAGGTATTTGAGCAGAAATCTTGGAATAAACAGGTATTTAAAATATCATTCTATTTTTTTGTTTCTTCTATTTTAAACTGATGCGATTCTGAAAAACTGGCGTGTAAATCAAATCTTCATAAATACACTGAAAGAATTCTCTTTATTTTAAACCCTAAGATGAATGATTTTCCCGGGTGGTGCAGTGGTAAAGAATCTGCCTGCCAATGTAGGTGATGCAGGAGACACGAGTTCAATCCTTGAGTCAGGAAGATCCCCTGGAGTAGGAAATGGCAACCCACTCCAGTATTCTTGCCTGAAAAATTCCATGGACAGAGGAACCTGGCTGTCTGGAGTTCATGGTGTCGCAAAGAGTCAGATGTGACTGAGCACGCACACAGTCTAAGATGAATACTTTAAAATAGGAAAATACACTTCTGAAATATGAACACTTTACTAATCTAAATGAATAACCTCCAGATGATGAGTTTTATACATGGTGTTCACTTACACTAGACTGACTAGGAGCTTCCCTGCTCTTGCACATATGTTTTTAAGTGCTCTTTCTGGCTGATAAGTCTTTTAGGACCTTATCCTCACGACCAAAGTGAAATGGAGGGTTAAGATAATTATCTGAATAGTTATGCTGAACACAAAATAACTTGATTTTGTCTGATTCATCTTGGTTTATTCAAAATGTTGCTGGACTGAGGCAGGAGTGGAAGGGATTTGCCTGAATTATCTGAATAATTCCTTTGTTATACAGGAAAAAGACTAGCAATAAGGAAATCTTACTAGTGAATCCAATTTGAATATACCAGAGTAAAATGTAAGGGATGTAGCTGGACTGTATCATCTTAGTTGATCAAGATATATTTTAAATATTCTGGCTTTAAACCACTCCTTTGCTTTATATTAGAAAATTAACCATAAGTCTCAGTCCACATCTGTAGAAATTATAGTTCCTAAAAATCCTATTTCTTGGATCTAAATCTATCTGAAATGAGTATTTCTGGACATGTTTTGCACCTATGGACAGCTTCAAGAATCTCATTTCAGTGGGTCAAAAAACAGCAGTGATCCTGAAATTGATCTGTTAGTGCATGACAGTATTAGCAGCTCTAATGGTTTGGGATTTAAACATTAGCATGGCACTCAACTAAATTCTAAATATCAATTCAGTTATTAGTAGCAATGACATGGTATTAACCTGGTGTAATACTAGATTATACTGTCCTGCATTATTTGTTAGTTGGATCACATGCATTTCTTTCACCGACCAGCTAGATTATAGACTCCCAGAAAGTTTAAAAACTTCATGTGCAGTGTTTAATGAAATATTAAATATATGTTAGAAGCTCAGTAAATATTTGGTCCATACATGCTAATATCTGTTAAGTTGGACTTTTAAAAAATTCATCCTTAGTGACTTAATCTTGTTTAGTTTTGATGGACTAGAAGTAATTTTTATCCTTCCATTCTTCTAAAGAGCTGGGTAGTTGAAGTGAATGTAATGTTAGCTTCCACAGCAAATTATTTTCCATTATTTATTAGAAGAAGAAAAAAATTATGATTAAGCCATAAAGCCACTTGTCAAAAAAGAGTGTCTTGAAGTTGCTCACCTTTATCAGCATTTAGAGCCATCCTCTGAACAACCTGGTGTGATACTAGCCCTCTAGGTTTGATGCAGCTGTGGTACTCAAAACTCACAGCAACTTTTTCCTATAGTCCTAAAAATCCCCTCTGGGATCCAGGAGAACCTTTGCTCCTAGTATTGGAACGTTAAAGCCTTTACTTATTTCCAGTATGATCTCTTCTGTGATATCATGTAAATGATCCCAAGAAAACAAAGTTGCCATGTATGGAAGCCCTGAAGAAAATGAGAAGAGTTAACAGTAGGATTGTGCATCTATTCCTGTGTCAACTGAGCAAGCATTTTTTTTTTTTTTTTTGAGGATTTTCTTTGTGCCAAGTTTGTTGCATTATGGAATGTAGATTTATATTTTATTTGTGGCAGGAAGACTGATATGCATGATGAACTTAATGTCTTGCAATACAGTCTAGTGCTAAATTGTAAGATACAGAGGAGTGGTATCATTGGAGACTGGGAATTGGAGGTGAATGCTTTTTTTTAAGGAGGTAGAAATTAAGCTATACCCAGAGATGACAGATACATGGCTTGTGTGCCATTTCTGCCTCCTCCTCCACTTGTGGCAGACATTGCTAATCAGTGTCTTAACACACATTATTATTATTATTCATCCTGAATGAGATTTCCAAATCTTCACTGTCTTGTTACATTAACAACTGATTGGAGTCAGCACAAACTTTGAAACCTAGAAGGTCCTTGAGAGCAGGTACTGTGCCTTCTTGACGTTTTCAGGGCTTAGCATCAGTCCTTAATAAATATTGAGTGGCCGAAGAATGGGTATATTTAGTTGAGAGAAAAGCATATTTCTGGTGAAAGAAATACGTTTATTAGAAAGGTATGCTTACAGGAGTGAGCATAATAGATGTTTACTGCATTAGTGAATGTCCTCCTCCCTAGTTCAGGCCTCTGTGCTCTCAGAGACAGATCTCACACATTAGACCTAGAAGTCAAGGACTCCGTGTGCTGAGCTAGAGGCAGCCACAGCGCAGGCATCTTGGAGATGGCCCCAGGCTCTCACTCGGGTTCCAGCCTGTCTCAGGCTCTTTGCATTTTGATTGTGCCCAACAGAAAAAAGCACACATGTTCATTCACATACACCTTATTTATTGCTGCCTCTCACTCTCCTTGGGCAGTGGTGGAGTGGTAAGAAGAAGGAAGGTCCCTAGTTGGAAGGAATAGGGAAGGGAGCACACTTCACCTCTTTCTTGGGAGAAAGTGGCTGCACTTCCCCTGGTAAATGCCAGAGGATTCCTTAGTGTCCAGTTGGCCAGAGAGGGTGATGCTGCTGCGCCAGCTGGGAAAGCAGGCCTCACGCTTCCCTTTGCGGCTAACTGTGTGCTAATCAGTCGCAACCACACAAAACCAGCTGGTTCTCTCTACTACTTCCTGATTAGCCAGATGTACGTATTCAGAATTCAAGCCAACGCTTACATCATCATCATAAAATTGTTTACAATTTGAGGCCTACGGGCTGTTACTAATTTAGACAATAGTCTAGTGACCATCAGAAGGGAATCTCATCACATGATACCCAAAAGTTGGGGAAAGCCAAGACCAAGAAGGATTTTTCTGGAATCTCTTCTGGAAA